TCACATTTGCAGGGTTTCTCTCCAGTGTGAATTACCTTATGTAAAGTAAGTTTTGACAACCACTTAAAAGCTTTACCACATTCTTCACATTTGTAGGGTTTCTCTCCACTATGAATTGTCTCATGTTTTCTAAGGGTTGAGGACTGGCTAAAAGCTTTACCACATTCTTCACATTTGTAGGGTTTTTCCCCAGTATGAATGATCTTATGTTTCATAACGGTGGAAAAATTGTTAAAAGCTTTGCCACATTCTTCACATTTGTACAATTTCTCCCTAGTATGAATTACCTTATGTTTTCTGAGGGCTGGGAATTGCTTAAAAGCTTTGCCACATTCTTCACATTTGCAGGGTTTCTCTCCAGTATGAATTACCTTATGTAAAGTAAGTTTTGAGGACCACTTAAAAGCTTTACCACATTCTTCACATTTGTAGGGTTTCTCTCCAGTATGAATTATCACATGTTTTCTAAGGGTTGAGGACTGGCTGAAAGCTTTGCCACATTCTTCACATTTGTAGGGTTTCTTTCCAGTGTGAATTATCTTATGTCTTCTAAGGGTTGAGAAATGGTTAAAAGCTTTGCCACATTCTTCACATTTGTAGGGTTTCTCCCCAGTATGAATTGCTTTATGTCTAGTAAGGTGTGAGGATTGCCTAAAAGCTTTGCCACATTCTTCACATTTGTATGGTTTCCTACCAGTATGAATTATCTTATGTTTCATAAGGGTTGAGGACTGGCTAAAACCTTTGCCACATTCTTCACATTTGTAGGGTTTCTTTCCAGTGTGAATTATCTTATGTTTTTTAAGCGTTGAGGACTGGCTAAAAGCTTTGCCACATTCTTCACATTTGCAGGGTTTCTCTCCAGTATGAACTACCATATGTATAGTAAGTTTTGAGGTCCACTTAAAAGCTTTGCCACATTCTTCACATTTGTAGGGTTTCTTTCCAGTGTGAATTATCTTATGTCTTCTAAGGGTTGAGAAATGGTTAAAAGCTTTGCCACATTCTTCACATTTGTAGGGTTTCTCCCCAGGATGAATTGCTTTATGTCTAGTAAGGTGTGAGGATTGCCTAAAAGCTTTGCCACATTCTTCACATTTGTATGGTTTCTTCCCAGTATGAATTATCTTATGCTTCATAAAGGTTGAGGAACTGTTAAAAGCTTTGCCACATTCTTCACATTTGTAGGGTTTCTTTCCAGTGTGAATTATCTTATGTTTTTTAAGCGTTGAGGACTGGCTAAAAGCTTTGCCACATTCTTCACATTTGCAGGGTTTCTCTCCAGTATGAACTACCATATGTATAGTAAGTTTTGAGGTCCACTTAAAAGCTTTACCACATTCTTCACATTTGTAGGGTTTCTCTCCAGTATGAATTTTCTCATGTTTTCTAAGGGCTGAGAAATGGTTAAAAGTTTTGCCACAATCTTCACATTTGTAGGGTTTCTCTGCAGTATGAATTATCTTACATTCATTAAAATTTGAGGACCCCTTAAAAGCTCTGCTACATTCTTCACATTTGTAGGTTTTCTCTCCAGTATGAATTCTCTTATGGTCAGTAAGATTTGAGGACTGGTTAAAAGGTTTGCCACATTCTTCACATCTGAAGTATGTCTCTCCAGTATGAATTATCTTATGTTTAGTGAACGCTGAAGAGAAGTTAAAGGCTTTGCCACATTTCTTACATTTGTAGGGTCTGTCTGCAGTATGAATTATCTTATGTTTAATAAAGGTTGAGAACCATTTAAAGGCTTTGCCACGTTCTTCACATTTGTAGATATTCTCTTTAGTATGAATTCTCTTATGTTGAATTAAGTGTGAAATCATGAGAAATGATTTGCTACATTTTATACACTTGAAAGTTTTCTTTTTAGTGTGTCTAACCTTATTTCTATTTGTGTTTGAATATTTATGAACGACTTTCATGTATTTGTTACACTGAAATATTTTTCTCTGGGTAGTTGTCCTACAATGGTTAAGTTTATTATAACCTTCTTCGTGCATCTTACACTCATTGGCACTTTTACAATCTTTTCTTAATTGTAAATTCTTATGTCCACATCTTGTATATGTTCTCAGTATTACTTCTTGGAAACAATCTTTCATGCTCTGATCTGGCCAAAGGTCTTGTGTAAAATGAGAACGCATAACTGGAGGAAATAAAAGTAACAAATTATTCCACTTGCTAGACTCAAATATACTTTACAAATCTAACCTATAAAATTATAAAAACCACAAAAGCAAGATGGCACAGTAAAATAGGACAGGCCCTAATTTCTTCATAGACATATAAATGTAACAAAAACACACTAACCAAAATACATTTGTGGAAAAGTTATAAATGAGTTAAGTGTATAGAGTACCCCAAGTAAGTACAGTGCAAAGAGCCACACAGAAGGAAAGAGAAGTCTGTTACAGTTTCCCAATGCAGCTCTTCCTGCTCCCCAAAACAACACAGGGACTTTAGAAGTAAACTGATGGCTGGAAATAGCAGCTCACACCTGTAATTCCAGCACTTTTGGAGGCCGAGGTAAGTGGATTACCTGAGATCAAGAGTTCAAGACCAGCCTGGCCAAAATGGAAAAACTTCATCTCTACTAAAAATTCAAAAATTAGCCAGCTGTGGTGGCACATGTCTGTAGTCCCAGCTACTCAGGAGGCTGAGGCAATCACTTGAACTTGGGAGGTAGAGATCGCAGTGAGATGAGATTATGCTAGTGCACTCCAGCCTGCGTGGCAGAGTGAGACTCTGTCTCAAAAAAAGAAAAAAAAAAAAAAAAAAGTAAATTACCAACTCCTGGTTTACTCTTTAAAGACAAATAAAACAGTGGTACATACATATTTATTTCTGGCTTCTAGGGGCCTTTCTAGACACTGGTTTTTGTCTCTCATGACATAAAGGGCTGAAAGAAATGGTGGCATACTTTAAAATGACAGCTTGAGACTGCTGAGACCAAAGTTAGATGTTATAGCAGCAAAGAATATAGTACCACACAAAAAAAAATAGATGTAGCAAGTGATTACTACTGAGAAGAAACATGAATAACGTTTTTTTATCAAAACAAACAAACAAAAAAATAACACACACACACAATTTCAGACAACATGCATTCTAAGAACATGTTTGACAGACTCCCAGAATCTCTGGCCAAGACAACTGGCTTCAGACTATTCCAGGACAAGGCTCCATTATGAAGATTGCAACAGGTAGATTTTTTGATGTACAAATTTTAATCAACGATTACAATGTATATAGAATATGAGGACAACACGGCCCAATCAAAAAAAGTATAAAATTTTTACAAAGCAACCATAAAACAATGAAGATTAATAAATTAATTTTAAAATTTTCAAATGAATTATAACACTGAATGAGAGAAACAGGAACACAGACCACTATAAAAAATTGAAAAAAATGAGGATACCTCTTCCCCTAATGGCGTGAGGTAATTCATGAAAATGGCTTGCTATTCACCTAAGCCAGAGAACCCCACAATATCACACTAAACAAGAGGTTCATAAGGGCTATTCTTATGTAAGACAAAATAAACTTTAAAGCAACCGCAGTTAAAAAAGACAAAGAGGGACATTATACAATGGTAAAAGGCCTTGTCCAACAGGAATATATCACAGTCCTAAACATATATGCACCTAACACTGGAGCTCCCAAATTTATAAAACAATTACTAGTAGACCTAATAAATGAGACAGACACCAACAAAATAATAGTGAGGACTTCAATACTCCGCTAACAGCACCAGACAGGTCATCAAGACTGAAAGTCAACAAATAAACAATGGATTTATACTATACCTTGGATCAAATGGACTTAACAAATATATACAGAACATTCCATCCAACAACTGCAGAATATACATTCTATTCAACAGCACACAAAACTTTCTCCAAATAGACCATATGATAGGCCCCAAAATGAACAAGAAATTTAAGAGAATTGAAATTATATCAAGCACTCTCTCAGACCACAGTGGAATAAAAGTGGAATTCAACTCCAAAAGGAACCTTCAAAACCATGCAAATACATGTAAATTTAAAAACCTGCTCCTGAATAATCATGGGGTCAAATATGAAATCAAAATGGAAATTTAAAAAATTCTTCAAACTTAACAACACAAGTGACACAACCTATCAAAACCTCTAGGATACAGCAAAGGCAATGCTAAGAGGAAAGTTCATAGCCCTAAACGCCTACATCAAAACATCTGAAAGAGCACAAACTGACACACTAAGTTCACACTTCAAAGAACTAGAGAAACAAGGACAAACCAAACCCAAACCCAGAAGAAGAAAAAAAATAAAATCAGAGCCGAATGAAATGAAATTGAAATAAACAGACAAAAACCAAAAGAAAAACCTGGCTCCTTAAAAAGATAAATACAATTGACAGACCATTAGCAAGATTAACCAAGAAAAAGAGAAAATCCAAATAACCTCGATAAGACAGGAAACAGGAGATATTACATCTGACACCACGGAAATACAAAAGGTCATTCAAGCCTGCTATGAACACCTTTAAGTACACTAACTAGAAAACCTAAAAGAAATGGGTAAATTTCTGGAAAAATGCAACCCAACCAGCTTAAAGCAGGAAGAATTAGATACCCTGATCAGACCAATAACAAACAGCGAGATTGAAAAGGTAATTTAAAAATTACCAACAAAAAAAGTGTAGGACCAGGCAGAATTTAGTAGAATTCTACCAGACATTCAAAGAAGAATTGGAAAGGCCGGGCCCAGTGGCTCAGGCTTGTCATCCCAGCACTTTGGGAGGCCAAGGCGGGCAGATCACGAGGTCAGGAGATCGAGACCATCCTGGCTAACACAGTGAAATCCCGAAAAATTGGCTGGGCGTGGTGGTGGGCGCCTGTAGTCCCAGCTACTCGGGAGGCTGAGGCAGGAGAATGGCGAGAACCCGGGAGGCGGAGCTTGCAGTGCGTCGAGATCGCACCACTGCACTCCAGCCTGGGTGACAGAGCAAGACTCTGTCTCAAAAAGAAAAAAAAAAAAAAGAAAAACAAAGAAGAATTGGTACCACCAATGCTATTGACACTATTCCACAAGATAGAGGAAGAGGGAGCCCTTCCTAATTCATTCTGTGAAGCCAGCATCACCCTAAAACCAGAAAAGGGCATTAACCAAAAAGAAAACCACAGACTAATGTCCCTGATGAAAACAGATGCTTTTTAAAAGCCTTAACAAAACACTGGCTAACTGAATCCAACATATCAAAAAGAGAATCCATGATCAAATGGGTTTAACACCAGTGGTGCAGGGATGGTTTAACAAATGCAAGTCAATAAATGTGACATACCACATAGAAATAAAAACAAAAATCACATGATCATCTCAATAGATGCAGAAAAAGCATTCAACAAAATCCCTTTATGATTAAAACTCTTAACAAAACTGGCATACAAGGGACATACATCAATGTAATAAAAGCCATCGGGCCGGGCGTGGTGGCTCAAGCCTGTAATCCCAGCACTTTGGGAGGCCGAGACGGGCGGATCACGAGGTCAGGAGATCGAGACCATCCTGGCCAACACGGTGAAACTCCGTCTCTGCTAAAAATACACAAAAAAATTAGCTAGGCGTGGTGGTGGCGCCTGTAGTCCCAGCTACTCAGGAGGCTGAGGCAGGAGAATGGCGTAAACCCACGAGACGGAGCTTGCAGTGAGCTGAGATCCGGCCACTGCACTCCAGTCTGGGGGACAGAGGCAGACTCCATCTCAAAAAATAAATAAATAAATAAATAAATAAATAAATAAAAGGCATCTATGACAAACCCAGAGCCAACATAATACTGAATGAGGAGAATTTGAAAGCATTCCCTCTGAGAACTGGAACAAGACAAGGATATCCACTCTCGACACGCTTCTTCAACAGAGTACTCGAAGTCTTAGCCAGAGCACGCAGAAAAGAGAAAGACATAAAGGGCATCAAAATTGGTAAAGAGGAAGTAAAGCTGTCACTGTTTGCTGATGATATGACTGTTTACTCTGAAAACCCTAGACTTTTCAAGAAAGCTCCTAGAAGTGATAATTCAGCAAAGTTTTCAGATACAAAATTAATATATACAAATCAGTAGCTCTTCTACACACCAACAGCGACCAAGCAGAGAGTCAAATCAAGAACTCAACCCCTTTTACAATAGCTGTGAAAAAAAAAAAAAACCCAAAAACTTAGGAATATACCTAACCAAGCAGGTAAAAGACCTCTACAAGGAAAACTACAAAACACTGCTAAAAGAAATTACAGATGACACAAAAAAATGGAAACACAGCCCATGCCCATGGATGGATAGAATCAATATTGTGAAAATGACCACACTGCCAAAAGCAATCTACAAATTCAACGCAATTTCCATCAAAATACCATCATCATTCTTCACAGAATTAGAAAAAAATGATTCTAAAATTCATGTGGAACAAAAAAAAAAAGGACTGCATAGCCAAAGCAAGACTAAGCAAAAAGAACAAATCTGAACGAATCACATTGCCTGACTTCAAGCTATACTATAAACCCAGTCATGAAAATAGCATGGTACTGATATAAAAATAGGCACATAAACCAAGGGAAAATAATACAGAACCCAGAAATAAACCCAAATACTCACAGCCAACTGAACTTTGACAAAGCAAACAAAAACATAAAGTGGGTAAAGGATACTCTTTTCTTTTTTTCTGACACGGAGTTTTGCTCTGTTGCCCAAGCTACAGTGCAGTGGCACAATCTCAGCTCACCACAACCTGTCTCCCAGATTCCAGCAATTCTCCTCCCTCAGCCTCCCGAGTAGCTAGGATTTCAGGCATCCGCCACTGCACCTGGCTAATTTTTGCATTTTTAGCAGAGATGGGTTTCACCACCTTGGTCAGGCTGGTCTTGAACTCCTGACCTCATGATCCACCCACCTTAGCCTCCCAAAGTGTTGGGATTACAGGCATGCGCCACCGCGCCCAGCCAAGGATACTCTTTTCAACAAATGGTGCTGGGATAATTGGCTAGCCACATGTAGGAGAATAAAACTAGATCCTCATCTTTTACTTTATACAAAAATCAACTCAAGATGGATTAAGGACATAAATCTAAGACCTGAAACTATAAAAATTCTAGAAGATAACATTGGAAAAACCCTTTCAGACATTGGCTTAGACAAGGATTTCATAATCAAGAACCCAAAAGCAAATGCAATTAAAACAAAGATAAATTAGGGAGAGTTCTCTATCTTGTGGAATAGTGTCAAAATGGGGACTTAATTACACTAAAGAGCTTTTGCAAGGCAAAAGAAACAGCAGAGTAGGCTGGGCGCAGTGGCTCAAGCCTGTAATCCCAGTACTTTGGGAGGCCCAGACGGGCGGATCACGAGGTCAGGAGATCGAGACCATCCTGGCTAACATGGTGAAACCCCATCTCTACTAAAAAACACAAAAAATAGCTGGGCGAGGTGGCAGGCGCCTGTAGTCCCAGCTACTCAGGAGGCTGAGGCAGGAGAATGGCGTAAACCCGGGAGGCGGAGCTTGCAGTGAGCTGAGATCCGGCCACTGCACTCCAGCCTGGGAGACAGACGGAGACTCCGTCTCAAAAAAAAAAAAAAAAAAAAAAAAAAAAGGAAGAAACAGCAGAGTGAAGAGACAACCCACAGATGAAAAAATGCTCAACATCACTAATGATCAGGGAAATGCAAAACAAAACCACCATATGATACCACCTTACTCCTGCAAGAATGGCCATAATAAAAAAAAAATCAAAAACCAGATGTTGGTGTGGATGTGGTGATCAGGGAACACTTCTACACTGCTGGTGGGAATGTAAATTAGTACAACCACTATGGAAAACAGTGTGGAGATTCCTAAAGAACTAAAAGTCATACTACCATTTGACCCAGCAGTCCCACTACTGGGTATCTACCTAGAGGAAAATAAGTCATTATATGAAAAAGATACTTGCACACATGTTTATAGCAGCACAATTCACAATAGCAAAATCATGTAACCAACCCAAATGCCCACTGCCCATTAATCAAAGAGTAGATAAAGAAACTGTGATACCACATAGACAGATAGATAGATAGATAGATAGATAGATAGATAGATAGATAGATGATGGAACACTACTCAGCCATAAAATAGAATAAATTAAAGGCATTCACAGAAACATGGATAAGACTGGAGACTATCATTCTAAGTGAAGTAACTCAGAAATGGAAAACCAAACATCTTATGTTCTCACTGATATGTGAGAACTAAGCTATGAGGATGCAAAGGCGTAAGAATGATACAGTGGACTTTGGGGACATGCGGGGAAGAGTGGGAGGGAAACGAGGGATAAAAGACTACAAATAGGATGCAGTGTATACAGCTCGGGTGATGGGTGCACAAAACTCCCACAAATCACCACTAAAGAACTTACTCGTGTAACTAAACACTACTTGTACCCCAATAACTTATGAAAAATAAATAAAGTAGTACACAGGTTACTTGAAGAGGAAAAAAAAACAGCTTTCCAAATTTTGATGTAATAAAAGAAAAAAAATATGCTTTTTTTTTTTTTTTTTTTTTGACAGAGTTGCCCAGGCTGGAGTGCAATGGTGGGATCTCGGCTAACCACAACCTCCACCTCCCAGGTTCAAGTGATTCTCCTGCATCAGCCTCCTGAGTAGCTGGGATTACAGGTATGTACCACCATGCCTGGCTACTTTTGTATTTTTAGTAGAGATGAGGCTTCTCCATGTTGGTCAGGCTGGTCTCAAACTCCAGGCCTCAGGTAATCCACCCACCTTGGCCTCCCAAAGTGCTGGGATTACAGGCATGAGCCACCGCGCCCGGCTGAAAAAAATATTCTTAATCCATAATACTTGATCAGAAATTATTTTATTTTAAAAACAATAAAAAACAAAGACTTTCCAAAATGAACGCTAAGGGTGTTCATCAATCGCTACTAGCACAGTTTAAAAAAAAAAAAAATGCTACATTGTGGACAGGCACAGTGGTTCATGCCTATAATCCTTCACATTTAGGAGGCCAAGGCAGTCAGATAACTTGAGACCAGGAGTTCAAGATCAGCCTAAAAACATAGTGAGACTCTGCATATATAACAAGAGAAATGCTAAAATGACTCTTTTATGTTGAAAAATAAAATGATGCTAGATAGCATCAAAAAAGCATATATAAATATATAGCTTTCTATTAAATGTAATTGTACAGACATATATAGAAAAAAAGAAATGCTAAAATGAGTATTTTATATTGAAAATAAAATGATGCTAGACAGTATCAAAAATCCATATATATATAGCTTTCTATTAAATGTAAATATACAGACACATATAAAAAAAGAAATGCTAAAATGAGTCTTTTACGTTGAAAATAAAATGATAGATAGCATCAGAAAACATATAAATATATAGTTTTCTGTTAAAGGTAAATATACAGCTACATATAAAATTTCTTACTAAAATAATAGTACATAAAACCCTTAAAATTCTTCTATAGAATATAAAAACAAAATATAAATCTGCATAAATCTGAATACACAATATGAAATAATTTATAATTTAAATTATAAAAATTTATAATATTAATAGCAAACTAGAAAATATATAGTTTTTTGTTCAACTGAAGTTATGAAATTAAAACATATTGATTTAATCTTAAGATATTTTACATAATGTCCATTTTTCAAGATAACTACAAAAACTTTATAGAAACTATGCAAAACAAAATAAAATAAGCAAAGTGTGCCACTACAGAATTAAACAAAAAATAGTTAAACAAGAAATGAGAAAAAACAGGTGTTAAAAAAACCATATAAAACATAACAATGAAACTGGTATGTAATTTTCTTTCTTTTTTTTTTTTTTTTGAAATGGAGTCTCACTCTGTTGCCTAGGCTGGTAAGCAGGGGCATGATCTCAGCACACCACAACCTGCGCCTCTGGGTTCAACTCATTCTCCTGCCTCAGCCTCCTGAGTAGCACGCCACCATGCCTGGCTAATTTTTGTATTTTTAGTAGAGATGGGGTATCACTATGTTGGCCAGGCTAGTCTTGAACTCCTGACCTTGTGATCTGCCCGCTTTGGTCTCCCAAAGTGCTGGGATTACAGGCATGAGTCACCGTGTCTGGCATAACTTTTTTTTTTTTTTTTTTTTTTTTGAGACGGAGTCTCGCTCTGTCGCCCAGGCTGGAGTGCAGTGGCGCAATCTCGGCTCACTGCAAGCTCCGCCTCCCGGGTTCACGCCATTCTCCCGCCTCAGCCTCCCGAGTAGCTGGGACTACAGGCGCCCGCCACTGCGCCCGGCTAATTTTTTCTATTTTTAGTAGAGACGGGGTTTCACCATGGTCTCGATCTCCTGACCTTGTGATCCGCCCGCCTCGGCCTTCCAAAGTGCTGGGATTACAGGCGTGAGCCACCGCGCCCGGCCCCATAACTTTATTTCTTTAAGAAATCATTTTAAATATATATTTATTAAACTACTTAATAAAAAGAAATGTAATTCCAGGACTTTGGGAGGCCAAGGTGAGCTGATTACCTGATTTCAGGAGTTTGAGACCAGCCTGGGCAACAAGGCAAAACCCTGTTTCTAACACAGAAAAAAAAAAGGGGAGGGGGGGAACAACAACAACAACTAGTTGGGTTTAATGGCATGTGCCTGTAACCGAGCTACTTAAAAGGTTGAAACTACAGGCTTATCTGAGTTTGAGAGACTGAGGCTGCAGCTCATGGCCATTATCACACCATTGCAAACCAGCCTGGTTGACAGAGTGAGACCCTATTTCATTGATTAATTAATTAATTAAAAGAAAAAGAAAGAAGATGCCTGAGTGGCTTAAGAAAAAAAGCATATGATATGTTCCTACAAGAGACCAATTTTAGTACTGAGTCAAATAGTGTGTAAGTAACAGAATGGAAAAAAATCTGTATTTCATGCAAACAGCCACAATTGGGTGAGGTAGTCATAACTATATTAGATACAATATGCTTTAAGTCAAGTACTAGTATGAGACAAAGAATGTTATTATATAATAGTAAAATGGATCAATTTACCAGGGATCTATAACTATTATATTTATATGTACAGGTAGGTATAACAAAGGGCTCCAAAATATATAAATATTGACAAAAGTGAAGCAAGAAATACATAGCAACATAATAGCTGCAGACACTGAGACCCCATTATCAATAATAAATAATAAATAGAAAATTCATGTAAAAGATTAAGAAAACAAAATGTAGATAACATTATAGATTGTAATATTTTGCATACAGACAAATATCTGAGAGTAGATAATTTATAAAGAAAAAAGGTTTATTTGGCTCACAGTTCAGCAGACTGTACAAGAAGTACGTGCCTGTATCTGTTTCTGGTGAGGGTCTCAGGAAGCTTTTGATCATAGTGGAAGGTGAAGAAGAACTGGACATATCACACGGTAAAAGATAGAGCAAGTGTGAGGTAAAAGAGCCAGGTTCTTTTAACATAGTTTCTCAAAATTATACAGATATTTGTGTGTCCCCAATAACAATGGAAAAGCAGTCAGATTGTGGAGTCCCTTATATGCCATGAACACGACTTTGGCTCTCATTGTAAACTTGAAGAGAGATCACCAAAACGAAAATAGAATCCTTAGAGAACTTTAAAGCATAAGACAGAAGATGCCTCTACGTGATAGTAAAATTTAAGAAATCTCAGCCTTCTCAGAAACTACTTCCTTTGGAGCACATCTTCTCAGGTCACATTTTGAGAACTGGCTTTCTCCTTGACCTCTGGACCTCTCATCTGTGGTGTTTGTTGTATTCACTCTCACATACCTGGGGGTTTAGTTACCATCTCATGTCTCTTCATATTCCAAGGCTCTTTCCCTTGCTTCAGACAAGCTATCAAGTCTAGCTTAGAGACAGCAATACCTGTTTTATTAAAAATAAATAACACAAATATTGCTCATATTCCACAAATAATGTGCTCATTAAAGAGAATGTAATAGAATGTTCTAGTAAATTGATCCCCCAATACTAATTTATAACATACATTTCTAAATATTTAGAAAATATTTTCAATTTGTATAGGCCCTTAATTTTACTACCCGGTACTACTGACTCAAAAATTGGTGGTGGCAATGAGATTTTAAGGTGTGGGCAACTGTATTTTATGCCACTAAATTACTGCAATTTTCACTAATCTAGAGTGAAAAATACAGATCTGCTCAGAAATGTGAAATGTTCAGATAATAATGAAACATCTTTAAAAAATTTCTCTTGGCGGGAAGGGGAACATCACACACCGGGGCCTATCATGGGGGGGGGAGGGGGGAGGGATTGCATTGGGAGTTATACCTGATATAAATGACGAGTTGATGGGTGCTGACGAGTTGATGGGTGCAGCACACCAACATGGCACAAGTATACATAGGTAACAATCCTGCACGTTATGCACATGTACCCGAGAACTTAAAGTATAATAATAATAATTAAAAAAAAAAAAAATTCCTCTTGGCCGGGTGCGGTGGCTCACACCTATAATCCCAGCACTTTGGGAGGCCAAGGCGGGCGGATCACAATGTCAACAGATCAAGACCATCCTGGCCAACAAGGTGAAACCCTGTCTCTACTACAAATACAAAAAAAAATTAGCCAGGTGTGGTGGCGCATGCCTGTAGTCCCAGCTACTCGGGAGGCTGAGGCAGGAGAATCGCTTGAACCTGGGAGGCAGAGGTTGCAGTGAGCCAAGATTGCACCACTGCACTCCAGCCTAGGCAACAAGAGTGAAACTCCTCAAACAAAAAAAAAAAAAAAAAAAATTTCTTTCTACACTTACAAATCCCTGTTTTCAGAAAACTCATTTATGGTAAGCATAAATCACCAAAACACATTCTACAGAAAAGAGAAATGAAACCTATAGAATATAATAGGAATTGTTTAATTAAAATTATCCTCACCCAGGAAGACCAGGTTTCTGTAGTTCTCTAACATAACATCTCTATATAAAGTCTGCTGAGCCGTGTCCAGGCATTGCCACTCCTCCAGAGAGAATTCTATGGTCACATCCTGAAAAGTCAACGGTCCCTGAAAAAAAAAACGAAACACACACATATATTTCCCAAGTGGCCACAGGCAGAATTTTTCATTTGACTCAAGATGAAATGATAGAATAAAGAGAACAGGTTCTAACTTATTGGGATGACCAAACATATCCACTAAAATAATTTTCAACACAGAAATATTCTCTAATGTATTCTCAAATTCTGAGAAAAAAGAATGCATAAGATCCGCAACACCAGTGTGGATAAGATACTTTTCTGGATAATAAAGTATAAAATTAAGGGCATGATAACAAACATGTATATTTTTTAGTGCTATATTTACATGATACAGAAGAAGTCTTGTATATTTTTCAGATCAAAAAGACATGCTGAGTTAGAAGACACCTCTCAAATTTTAATGTGTACAATTAACTGGAGATCTTGTTATGCATATTTGTTTCATAAGATCTAGAATAAAGTCTGAGTTTCCAAATTTCTGACAAGTTCACCAGTAATGCCTGTTTTTGGCCCAAAAAAGAATCTTCTCAAACATTCACCAAGTAGAGGAGCCTGTTTTTCCCAGTTTTTCTGGCCTGTAAACAAAGATGAGAGACCTCATTTTCCAAAGATAGATACATGCAAAGAAAATCTAAGAAAGAAAGGCAGGTGCCAGATTAAATGTGATCACTGGTGTACATCAGCTGCATAAAGATACTTAAAAGGCTGGGCATAGTAGCTCATTCCTGTAATCCCAGCACTTTGGGAGGCTGAGGTGGGAGGATCACGAGGCCAGGAGTTCAAGACCAGCCAGGCCAACATGGTGAAACCCCATCTCTACCAATAGTACAAAAATCAGCCAGCCATGGTGGTGCACACGTGTCATCTCAGCTATTCCAGAGGCCGAGGCAGGAGAATTGCTTGAACTCAGGAGGCGGAGGCTGCAGTGAGCTGAGATCGCGCCACTGCACTCCAGCCTGGGGGACAGAGTGAGACTCTGTCTCAAACGACAACAAAAAAAGATACTTAATGAAGAGAAAACTAATTTATAGTGAAAAAATCTGTCGGAGAGCTCTTCAACCAAGTGAATCATTAACATCAACTGCACTAGGACAAATTTATTTTATTTATTTATATTATACTTTAAGTTCTAGGGTACATGTGCACAACGTGCAGGTTTGTTACATATGTATACATGTGCCATGTTGGTGTGCTGCACTCATTAACTCGTCATTTACATTAGGTGTATCTCCTAATGCTATCTCTCCCCCCTCCCCCCACTCCACAACAGGCCCCAGTGTGTGATGATCCCCTTCCAGTGTCCAAGTGTTCTCATTGTTCAATTCCCACCTATGAGTGAGAACATGAGGTGTTTGGGTTTTTTGTCCTTGCGATAGTTTGCTGAGAATAATGGTTTCCAGCTTCATCCATGTCTCTACAAAGGACATGAACTCATCCTTTTTTATGGCTGCATAGTATTCCATGGTATATATGTGCCACATTTTCTTAATCCAGTCTATCATTGATGGACATGTGGGTTGGTTCCAAGTCTTTGCTATTGTGAATAGTGCCGCAATAAACATATGTGTTCACGTGTTTTTATAGCAGCGTGATTTATAATCCTTTGGGTATACACCCAGTAAAGGGATGGCTGGGTCAAATGGTATTTCTAGTTCTAGATCCTTGAGAAATCGCCACACTGTCTTCCACAGTGGTTGAACTAGTTTACAGTCCCACCAGCAGTGTAAAAATGTTCCTATTTCTCCACATTCTCTCCAGCATCTGTTGTTTCCTGGGGTTTTAATGATCGCCATTCTAACTGGTGTGAGATGGTATCTCATTGGGGCTTGATTGGCATTTCTCTGATGGCCAGTGATGATGAGCATTTTTTCATGTGTCTGTTGGCTGCATAAATGTCTTCTTTCGAGATGTGTCTGTTCATATCCTTTGCCCACTTTTTGATGGTTTTTTTTTTTCTTGTAAATGTGTTTGAGTTCTTTGTGTAGATTCTGGATACTAGCCCTTTGTCCGGTGAGTAGGTTGCAAAAATTTTTCCCATTCTGTAGGTTGCCTGCTCACTCTGATGGTAGTTTCTTTTGCTGTGCAGAAGCTCTTTAGTTTAATTAGATCCCATTTGTCAATTCTGGCTTTTGTTGCCATTGCTTTTGGTGTTTTAGACATGAAGTCCCTGCCCATGCCTATGTCCTGAATGGTATCGCCTAGGGTTTTTATGGTATTAGGTCTAACATTTAAGTCTTTAATCCATCTTGAATTAATTTTTGTATAAGGTGTAAGGAAGGGATCCAGTTTTAGCTCTCTACATATGGCTAGCCAGTTTTCCCAGCACCATTTATTAAATAGGGAATCTTTTCCCCATTTCTTGTTTTTGTCAGATTTGTCAAAGATCAGATGGTTGTAGACGTGTGGTATTATTTCTGAGGGCTCTATTCTGTTCCATTGGTCTATTCTCTGTTTTGGTACCAGTACCATGCTGTTTTGGTTACTGTAGTCTTGTAGTATAGTTTGAAGTTAGGTAGCATGATGCCTCCAGCTTTGTTCTTTTGGCTTAGGATTGACTTAGCAATGCGGGTTCTTTTTTAGTTCCATATGAACTTCAAAGTAGTTTTTTCCAATTCTGTGAAGAAAGTCATTGGTAGCTTGATGGGGATGGGATTGAATCTATAAATTACCTTGGGCAGTATGGCCATTTTCATGACATTGCTTCTTTCTATCCATGAGAATGTAATGTTTTTCCATTTGTTTGTGTCCCCTTTTATTTCGTTGAGCAGTGGTTTGTAGGTCTCCTTGAAGAGGTGACGGGGAGAATGGAACAAAGTTGGAAAACTCTGCTGGATATTATCTTGCTTCAGTTTCCATGTAGTTGAGTGTAGAGTGAGTTTCTTATCTGATTCTAGTCTTTGATTGCAGTGTGTCTTGCAGGACGTTTGTATATAATTTCTGTCTTTTACATTATGTGCAGGAGTGCTTTACTTCCACTATGTGGACGTTTTGGAATAAGTGCGATGTTGCTGCGTAGAAGAATGCATATTCCTGTTCGATTTGAGGTGGAGAGTTCTCCTAGATGTCTACTTAGTTCCACTTGGTGCAGAGCTGAGTTTCAATTTCACTATGATAATCTTGTTAATGTTTCTTTCTTGTTGATCTGTTATGTTGACAGTGGTGTTTAATAGTCTCCCATTTACTATGATGTTAGGGAGTCATATAATAAAAAAAATAAAAAAAAAAAAAAAAAAAAACAAAAACAAGAAAAAATATAAAAATAAAAAAAAAAAGTCTCTTTGTAAGGTATCTAAGGACTTGCTTATATGAATCTGGGTGCTCCTGGTATTGGTGTGGCTAATGTAATTCGTGTAGGAATAGTTAGCTCTTCTTATTGAATTGATTCCCTTTACTCTATTATGAATGGCCTTCTTTGTCTCTTTTGATCTCTGTTGGGTTTTAAAGCTGTGTTTATCGAGACTAGGATTGCAACCCGTGCTTTTTTTGTTTATGCCATTGCCCTTGTAGATCTCCCTCCATCCCTGTTATTTTGAGCCTAGTGTGGTCTCTACACGAGAGATGAGTCTCCTGAATACAGCATACTGATGGGCCTTGGACTGTTTAATCTAATTTGCCAGTCTGCATCTTTTAATTGGAGCATGTAGCCTATTTACATTTAAAGGTTAATATTGTTATATGTGAATTTGATCCTGTCACTATTATGTTAGCTGGTTATTTTGCTCATTAGTTGATGCAGTTTCCTTCCTAGCCATCGATGGTCTTTACAATTTGGCATGTTTTTGCAGTGGCTGATACCGGTTTGTTCCTTTCCATGTTTAGTCTTCCTTAAGGAGCTCTTGTAAGGCAGGCCTGGTGGTTGACAAAATCTCTCAGCCATTTGCTTGTCTGTAAAAGGATTTTATTTCTCTCCTTCACTTTTGAAGACTTAGTTTGGCCGGATATGAAAATTCTGGGTTGAAATTCTTTAAGAATGTTGAATATTGGCCCTCACTCTCTCTGACTTGTAGTGTTTCTGCCGAGAGATCTACTGTTAGTGTGATGGGCTTCCCTTTGTGGGTATCCGACCTTTCTCTCTGGCTGCCCTTAGTTTTTTCCTTCATTTCAACTGTTGGTGGATCTGACAATATGTCTTGGAGTTGCTCTTCTCGAGGAATATCTTTGTGGCATTCTCTGCATTTCCTGAATTTGAATGTTGGCCCTGCTAGGTCAGGGAAGTTCTCCTCTG